AGTCGTTACGATGAATTGAGATTCTTATGCAAATAATTAATTCAGCATTGTTATCTGTTTGACTTTTCACCTGGACAGTACTCTCATATTGGGAATGGCTATAGAAGTGCTAAAGCGGACATCAAGCTGAGGAATTGTGAAAGAATAGAATATATTTCATGCTGTTGCCGTTTTTAGAACGACAACAGCATCAAATATATTGTAATCTTCTTAACAATCAGCGCCTGAACAAGAAGTAACTAGAGGAAAACCTGACTATGCGGACGAAAATCATCTGTTTAAGCATTAGAAGATATCTTCAGTGTTTTCCATTTTCTGTTAGAAACACGCGGGATTGTTGGAACACGAGAAAACGTTTTGAAACACGATCTGAAAGCGAGATTCAAAAACGTTTTTCCTTTTCTCCTAACAACTTGAAAGCTAAGCAAAGTCAATTATTATTATTCAGGAGAAGCCGACGGGGTCTGTTCTTCTAAATAACTATTCTTGTACGAATTTTTTTCCTTGAATATGGATTTTGAGCTACATTGTTGACAATCTCACAAGCAAATTCCTTCTTTAAAATAGAGTCCTTTTTTCCTGAATTTCTCGCTGGCAACCTGTYGTGACTTACTGCTGGCTGGGACTTAAGAACAGATATATTTCTCCCAGGAACCTGTCGGCTCCTCCTAATTATTAAGCAACATCCGAACAAACAAAACATCCAAACAACCTTGTTTGGCTGTTGGGCTGTTGACCTTATTCAACCTCCTAATGAACTGGTTGGGCTGTTGGTTTGTTGGGTTGTTGACCTAATTCAACCTAATGGACTGGTTGGGCTGTTGAGCTGTTAGGCTGAGGGTTTGCTGGGCAGTGAGGTTGTTGGGATGTTTGCAAACTGCCGACATTGTTGCCTAGAATCATAATCAAGTTTTCATAATCAAGTCTCAAGTTTTAATTTTTGCGTACATTATATATTTGGTGGGATTCTACTGTCTTCTAATTTGCAACATGCAGCGAGATTCTGTTRARACTGGTAGATTGGCAATCGGCTTGTCTTTATTTCAGACCTCGTGCATTTTCCTTTTTTACCGATTGTTCTTACAAGCTTACACACTTTCTTGTAACAAAGTACCGATTTAAATCGACTCCAAATATTCTGTTATTTTTTATTCTCTACTTGCTATAAAAAGACCTGTTTTCCCATTCACACATTTATTTGATSGGCCGTATTTGTGCACAATGACTCACAATGACTCGGACGTCACTAATATCAGCGAGCCGCGATTTGCTCTTATTTGAGGAGAGAGTGCACGTGGTCTGAAATAATAGTCGAGATTGACCAAAATTCTAAAATAGGAAGCTTAATATAGTTGTTTATATTGCGTAGCTTTTCCTGTGTCATATACAAATCCAATAAGAAATGTGCAGCGACGCCATTTTATTCAGCAAAGCATGATGGTAGTTGTAGTCCTCACACTTATTATAGACACTAAAATATCTCTCTAAAAGCCTTTTCTACGAAAACATCATTGTGGCTGAAAAAAAGACAAATTTTTTTTCAGTAGCGGACATGAAAAAGTACGAGGACTACAACTACCATAGTGCTTTGCTACACAAAATGACCGACGTCGCTGMACATTCCTTAAAATCCATTAATATTGTTATGCTTAAATAATTTATGTTTAAAGTTTTTGTTCCATATTTCATGAAGGCGCAAACACTGTCCATCCATGGCCTCCACGACTTTATGATTTCAGTTCTCTTCTTTCACAATGAAGACTGATCAATCAATTCTTTGAATATAAAATGTTTTCTTTTTTTGGAGARGTTTATATTGGAAAAATAATGTCCAAAGGAGTTTTCACCAGTCTTTAGCTTTACTTAATCTTAATATATTGTCATAACTGATACAAGGAATATCTGTGTTGATATGATATATTATTGTACGTTCATTTCTTGCTGTTGATGCATGACATTATTGCACATATCCATTCTAAGTATMTCATAGCCTTTTCTGTTCCTAAAGCAAGTGTTGATATCAGTTCCTGCAGAGATTAACAGACCAGCGGTATATGCTGTTGTTGTTGACTGTTCATCCTGAGAGGTTTGCGAAGCAATTTCCTTGAAGTYGTAAACTGGCCAGACAGTAATCTATGCCGATTTACTAGTTCTCAATCTGTACGAACTTCTAGACTTTTTCTCCGCGATCACTAAAATTTGACCAGTCAGCAAGAAGGCTTGTTGTTTGCTCGTCGTCCTGGAACGATGGAGTCGAGGTCGCTTTTGAGTTGACTAAAGCTCGATTTCGTCTAAATGAAATAAAGATAGAAAATACTGTTGAGGATTTTTTCTCCTTATACACATATCACTAATAAATCTGWCAGCGAAAGCAGATATAAACAAAAACAAAATATCAGCATGCAGTAACACAAACACTGCAACAATGATTAAAAGCTAGAAATTAGACAATCCAAGACAAACATTGATCTGGTTTGCATTGGAAGTAATCTTTGAAAGTTTAGGAAATTAGGAAATACGAAGCTCAATTTCCTGGTGAAACCATCATGGATTTTGTGATATATGTATCACAATCCGAGTAATTCCTTACTTTCTTCTGTTTCGATTTGCAGGACATCTGAAGAAGAAATACGCCGTGAATATCACAAAGAACACCACGGCTGGTGCGATCATTGTAAACAGCGTGTCAGGGTCGTTGGCTTCGTTGATTTTGTCTTCTAAAGAAGAGAAACAAACATTGGCAGCACATTAATAATTAAATTTAAAAAGTTTTCTCTGAAGAATTGCCTGCATCGAGATCTCCTCTGGTTTTATTTTTAGATATATTCCAGGTTTTTACAATCTTTTTTGCACGTAGTAAAGAAGCCGATGAAGAAGGGCCTTTTTAATTTTTTCACTTATCATGGCAAGCCGCACCGGGGCAAGCAATGCATCATAAAACGTTTTCTTGACATGTGTTTGTGTTTTTATTATTATTCGCCATCCTCTATCCAAGAATGAATAAAAATGCTTCAGTCAACGAAGGTCTGCGAAAATGYCTCAGTATTGATGAGGCCTTGAGTTCTTACAGCAACGCGCAGTCCCAGGCACATTTTACACCAATCCGTCCTACTGTTGATCGCTGGAAAAGGGACTGAAAAAATTTGCATACTGCATCAACCAATGAGAAACCACCTGTAATTCCAGGCATTATTGGGTGCACGAGCACCAAAATTGATTTGTGTGCTAATCCTTTTGAAGTGGATTCCCCTAAATGTCTTCTAGACCCTTTTTCTAGCAAACAACAGTTCAAATCAGCGGGCTTTCTTAACGCTTGTTTTCATTGTTCAAGAAAAGCAGAAAATAGACAAAAATTACATCAGTTTTTGGAATGACGACTTAAGGAAATCAAATCAATTCTAAATAGAGCTTCAAGTTTCTTACCCTGATTGGAATCTGCATTGCTACTGGGATTTTTTTTGCATGACGTTACAATCACTAGTACTTGTTTGAAGTCGYTACCAAGATCATTTGTTGCCTCGCAGCGATAAACTCCAGAATCAGTCACTTGGCCTTTGTTTATTGTTAAATCATGCTTTTCTTTSTCTTTTTGTATTACGCGACCATCATGGTACCACGTGACTTGAGCACGCGGACAACTCTGCACCACACAGGAAATTTGCACCGAAACACCCTCAGGAAATCGCACTTGTTCCAAGGTCACTGGTTTATTTAGAATTTTAGGTGGATCTGCGAAAATCAGTAGGATGTTCGTTTAGTAGTGTAAGCCTTTTAGTTWWTTTWRRAWTYYTTTKSCYKKWGGCRARCTCAAAATTACATTCTTGCTGCTGGAATTCTATTCATCAATTTAGAGTTTTATAACAACAAAAGAAGAATTTTATTTATCTCTATCTGCAAAAATATACTTTTTGTCTTAAAAAAGCAATACATGCATACAGTGTTCAGTTCTCAGTAGAGATTTGATAAATAGCTGTTAACGGTACATTGTGTTCATAATGATATATGATTAATGAAGGGAGTGTGTAATGTTAATACTATACTATGTTGATAAYAAGCAACGAATACCTATAATACTCACATGTTACAATAAGTTCCACGTGATCAGAAATAGGTTCTCTTGCGTCACCAAATGACATCACCATGACGTAACTATTGCTGTCTTTTCTCGTGACGTTCGTTAATACAAACGACACGATGTTGGATCCCCCTAGCCACTGAAGCCTGTCCACAAACKTCTCAGTTACATTRTAACTATAGATAGTTGAATTATTTTGATCGGTTTTGTGGATTTTGATTAATGATTTATTGAGGTTATTATTGTAGCAAAAGCCAAAGTCAATGTGCTGCAGGTATTTGGTGTCGTTAGAACTCAGYGCAAACGTCCATCGAAATTCAACTGATTCTCCTTCTTTTGCTTGTGTGTTTTTTGAAGGTCCTGTTAGCAATCCAGGTCGAATTCGGCTACCTATAAACGTACAAACCATATTTTAGTAATAAATAGAGAATATTTGCATAGAGTCGGTAATTAAATAAAAGATCCTTCAYGTTTCTTTGAATTTTTCATGCGGCGCACACCGCATTGGTTGGACCACATTCAATGGATAATTTTCTTTTTTATTATRTTATATTCTTATGCAATATCTATTATTTCTACTTATTTCAACATTAAAAACCAGATTATTTATTCCATTCAATTATTACACAATTCATTAGATCAATTTGTGGGCAGAACCGGCCATCATGGAAGGCCAACAGTATAAGAAGACGGTCAAAAATACCGTGAAAAACGGTTTTTCCAAATACAGTAAAACCCCGCGTATAAAAACGACTAGATTTTTCTAAATATGCCTGAACAAGTTCTCATATAAATGGTGCTTTATAACTTGAAATCAGCCTCTCTAGGTTCTTAAGTGGTGTTCTTAATTATTGGTAAGAAAAAGAGTGCTTGTATTGATGGGTGTGACATTTTACATCAAATAATTCCCACATTTTCATAGAACATGGCATGTAATAAAGTGCAAACACAGTGTAAGCTTTATTTTGCAAGAAACTAAAGTAGATTAACTTAATTTTTCGAAATTAAGAACCCTGAAATTTTAGGCCGAAATATTGGTTCTTATGTTAAGCGTGCTTAAGAGAAAACCTTTTCTCATGATAGACCCTTAAAGGGACATGGTCCACCAGCATTCAATGCGGTCGTGTTTTAGATTTTTCATGTGAAAAACTGAGGTGACTTGGAATAGCCATTCGAAAGGTCGAATCTTACAGTATCAAAGCAAAAGCTTGAAAGGGATGWTGGTGGACCATGACYCTTTACATTTTAGGTTCTTATACAGGGGTTTTCAATTATTTTATCTCAGTAAACTGTCATGTCAAGTTTATAGCTTTCCCATAACCAACTTTACCACAGATATGGAATAAATTTGCATCAATCTAGATTATCAATTACGAATTAATGATAGGTAAATTATCATTCCAGTCATTTGAGAAGCTGAGAGTGTATATCTGGGATCGATGTTGATAAGAAATTTGTTAYAGTGTCAGGAATGCAAAAGAGTGACAAGAGTCTTGAGTTTAAGCYAATTTTTGGCAYATCTGATATGTTATATTATCGAGGATCGTTGGTAAATTAAAAACCCAGTGTGAAACATTCAATTTAGTTTTTACTTTTGAAAAAATAAACAATATTAAGTGATATAACTACGTCTTATTCAAAAAACTATTTTTAATCTCAGTTATAACCTATTTAGACGAAACCAGTTCTCATCTGAATATTGTTTTACTTTGAAAGATATAAAAATAAACAATAGCCATTTTTTTCGAAAATTTARGGGTTTTGATTTGATCAAAGACAACGAATTCAGAAAAAGAAAAAACATAATATAGTACAGAATAACAAAAATTCATTTGTCATCGTTTCAGCTTCAGTGAGGTTTTCGCGGTCCATCTGTTAAACAAATTGTTTACGAATATAGAAAAGAATATAGAATAATGCTATTGTGCTAAGTGAGCGAAATTAACCCCCAAAACAAGCTKGAATAATGATTTTCGTATTTGAAGAGCTAAATTGTAATCAGACGCCTTGGTTCAAGTAGTGGAGTCTTAAAACTATRAATCTTATATCAAATCTTTTTTGAATCGAGTGTAGCGTCACTTTGAAATATTTTCATTAAAGCTACTTAAGAAGTCAAATATTCATTAAAAATTCAAGGGATTCAAGCGTTCCTTAGCAACAAGGATTATAAAATYTGCGCGAAATATACGCAAGCCTTCTATTTAAGATATTAGGATGACCTAAAACATTTATAATGAAATACTGAAGTTACTGTCATTATTTTTGTCAATTGCGTGGTAAAACCTTAAACCTGTTTCGGCAGCCCAGGCTGTGAGCCGAGTGTAAACATCGCAAGTCCTTTCCTTTCACCAAATATAAAGAAATATTCAATTTCTATTACTTCAATACGATATATTACAGGTTAAATGCATCTTTTCAGATGAAACTCGATTTGAATCTAATGTCGGTACGCCATCTTTTTCTCTTATCGGTAAAGCTTTACAATGAAAAAGGAAAAACGTCTAAAATGCTAAAAATTTATGAGAAAACTTCTCTTTATGGAGATAGAATGATTAAAATTCAAACATTAGAACACGAATATTTTAGGAATACAGATATAAAATAGATAAAGATATAACAATTACTCGCTGAGATTGCATATTACATGACTAGMGAAAGGAAAGTGCATCTTATGAAAAGGCCTAAAAAATGGGCTCTTGCAAAYATGACACAATGACATTKTGCGAATCTGTACAAATGACATTTAGCTAATTTCCTTCTTACGTAGATTATAAACCTTTCTTTCAGACAAATCACTTGAAAATCATATCTTGATCTAGTTGGAGTGTAAATATTTCAAATTGTGTTTATCTTTTGTTGAGAATTAGAATATTCCCAGCGAGCCTTAAAAATTTAAATTGTAATAGATGAATTTTGATCGTAAAGCACTTCTAAATAGATTTGTTTATTTGATTAAATCCCTCAAAAAAGCACTCTAAAATGCGATTGTTTTCGTACAGCAATTTGAACCTAACTTTCCTGATAACTTGACAAGTGTATTTTTCTGTCATCGCCACAAATCATTTACATAATTGAACAAAAGGCTTGAAAAAAGCTGCATATAGACGTCTATTAGTTGAACTTCGCTTTGAGGGGGATTCTTATCGAAAATCAAGCGAAACTCGAGATTAAATTAGTGACTTTATGTTATTCAATGAGTACAGAAAGAGTCATCGTACACAGAGGTAGTTGTCAAAATGCCCAAAAAACTGAATTCGTTTTTTCGGTTTTCAAGTGGAACAAAGTGGAACAATAGTTTCAATTKCAAACATTCATCAGTTACAAAGAAAATAGAATTATTTTGAATATTTTCATGATGCTGCGCATATTTACATCACCAAAAATCGACCTTTTTATGAGAGACCACTCTAATATTACGAAAGAGAATTGAATTGATTTTATGAGCTTGATGAAAACATGTTGAAAGCAAACAAAACTTTTGGTTGGACCGTTTGGGGATTTACATGCAAAGCAAGAAAGGATTATTTTTAATTAGACACCACAAACTCTTACCTTCTTCAGAAGTTTTAGCTTGGCTCAATGTCAGCAGAAAAGCAAAACACATCACGAAGAGGACATTAAAATACAAAGAATTTGCGAATGCAATTGAAGAAGCTCTCATTTTATTCTTCGCTCGTTCTCTTGTACCCAACTTCTGTAATTCTTCGTCTTGTTTCCAAAACACGATTGGCGAAGAAACGCTATTGAAAATCAAAATTGTCCAGGGTTAATTTTCGTAGAATTAACTATTTTTTCGTTGAAAAGTCGYTTGGATCTTTATGTTAATATTCAGCTTGTATTATAGCTTATACTGCTAAAGCTGTTTGAGAGGAAAACAAGCTTGCGTCCCAGGGAACTGTTGACTTGCCAACTAGTAGCGCAGGTGGCTAAACCAAAGGACTGGATTGGACTACGTCATTAAGTGGACTGTAAGGAYCTGGAGAATTTAATTATATTTGAACTTATTGTCAAAAACAAAGTGAATTAATCCTGAATTATATAGGTCTCTTTTCTTTGGTGATATTTGGACTTGATCGCCGTAATTGTAACATATTTTCCTTTTCTTTAATTAAAACATCAGTTCAGCTTTATTCCTAAAAATGAATATGGATTTATGTAATTGCGTTTTATGCGATTTTAATTTCCAACAATGAAGAGAAGTGATTTAGGCTCGATTGCTTTTATAGGGATGATAGAAAGTTAATGTAAGTGGATTTACCATTTTTACATGTTTTAAAATACTTAGGCCTAAGCCGAATTTCTTTTGCTTAACTAAATAAACAAACAAATCACTTTTCCAAATAGCGCACAGCTGAGGATGAGAATCGCGGAATACTTWAAAGCTTTTTTCTCACAGCCTTTCATAGACCAACTTTTATGCTTTTTTTGCGGTCCGCTAACGCTGGCTTTGATTGGTCAACCTTGGGCCCAGTGTTTTTTACGATCTCTCCGGTCCACGGTATCCAATTACAAATTTTAGCGAAAAAAGAGCAAAAAGACTGCGACAAAAAATAAATAAGTTCTTTACCGGCTTAATGACGATCCGTATAGTAAAAAGMGGATTGCGGAGTCCTTGGTTCATACATCAAAACCACGGGCAGTCTTTCACTATATGTCGGTAAACAACATATATGCAGCTCATTGAATTCCCTTTTGTTCTTGCCAAGTCATTTCCCCTGTGCATTTATAATCTTCTTACAATATAAATTGCTTCTTTTTAGTACTATTTTGTGGTTGGACGTTATTTAAGGGATTCAAAAGCTTTTAAAAGCTGGTCTTTCATCTCAATATCATTGAGACTTCCAGCTAACAATTACGTCAAGCCCTCGAGAATAAGCTGAAATGTGCCTTCTTTCTCAGATTTGACATGTTTGTCATTGAGAGAGACTACAATTAAGCATTTCTAGAGACCGCAGACTTTTCAACTGAAAAGATGTTGAATATTCCAATTGTAGTGAAACCCTAAATAAACACGTCAGTTTTTATCAATAAAGAAACATGGAGATCCTGTTTGAGAGACATATTTTCATTACAAGATATTCAATCTTTTTGCTACAAGCGCTTTTACTTTATTTCTAGATGCCGAAATCTATTTGAATCTATAAGGCGTAAGCAGACCGTGTAAAAAGCTGCAATTTTTACAATGCCATGAAAAAGTAGTCAATACTTACATATCGCATCCAAAAAGTCTTCAAAATAAATTAACACTAACTGGGACGGCATATTGTAGTATATATCTCAATATTTTCATAATTTCTGTTCTAGTTTTAGTGTTTTTAGCTCAAATAATTGCTAATCGCCCTTCACAAAAAAGCAGACAGATACGACACATTATCTTAAGAGGAAATTGAGACGCTGTCTTCAGGAAATAGAAAAAAATGCCAGATTATTCTTAGGCATATTTCATCTCATTTCGTTCATTTATCTTGAAAAGAACTCGGTTAGGCTTTTTACCGCCATAAATTATGATAGGTCCTGAAAATATCTTGTTATTTTTCTAAAGTAAATCACAAAAAGAAAATAACATGAAAATCCAATAGATTTGTATTGGAAAAGCAAACTTGATATCTTAAGTGCCGAAAAGYAATTAAATSTACAGCGAAAGGGAAGGTTATTAGAAAGCTATCTTAAAGGGTTTAAGATTCATCTTGCATCTTTCTTTTGCTAATTCCCCCTTTTCATATTTTTTTTTCAGTTTTTTCTCTATTTTTTCTATTTTTCTTCTTTATTTCCCTTTTTTCATTTCTTTCCGTTTACAGCTGTCTTCTTCTTTGATTATATTTTTTTGAATTATTTTTCCCAAGTTAGTTTCCCACTTCATATATAGTCACAAAAAAAATAAAAAATAAAGCGATACTTTCAATGACAGCATAGCATAACCCAAAAGAAAATTAGACTAAGTATAATTTGAAATATCTAATTTTCGAAATCTATTAAGGTAATTTGCAAGTTTTTTTGTCTTTATCAAAAGTATTAATCTCAATAATAAAAGGGAAATAAAAGACAGTTCATCAGATTATACATAGTGTTACACAGTTTTATACTGAAAACAGTTCTATATATTTAAGCCCTTTATCTCCATTATATATAAGGCTTCTATTGGACACACTATGTCTGCCCTCTATGATGTTTCTAGGTTTCAGGCACCTCACCTCAGAAACTTCTGCAACGTAAAGCGTGAAACTCATTTTTACGCCGGGAAATGTTTTTCTTGATCAGTTTATCCATGTAGCGATAATATACAGCGTGCGCTAGCTGGAAGRATCTTGAGCTGTTGTATAAGCTGCCTAAAAAGATTAAACACCGTAAAAAAGTAGGAGAAGTAACTTACTGACGTTTCGGACGTTAATCCTTCGTCGGAGTAAAAGCCACACGGATTAACGTCCGAAACGTCAGTAAGTTACTTCTCCTACTTTTTTACGGTGTTTAATTTATCGTTTTACACAACTGTTTCTTTAGAAACACCGACGCAGCTCACACTAGGTTACCTCTAGTTCCCACCATTTTGACTGTTGTATAATCTTTTGTTCACAGCTTTGACATTTACAGGATAACCTTTCCAACCTAATGCACTCGCGTGAAATAATTTTTATGTTATCTTCATATTCGTTATCACTTTATTTTGTCYTGCTGACCATAGCCAAACAGAGATGCTTAATGATATTGGTATTTTATCGATAAAGGACATGGAATTTTAAAGTTGAATGAAATCAGTGTACATCAGTTAAATTGCTGTTTTTGCTTGGTCTGTTCATCTGTTATTGTTATTTTTAGTGTTTAAGCGGTTTGTTTTATCTTATTTTATTACTTATATCTTATTTTCATTTAACAGTTTAGAACAAATAGAGTGAAATAATGCATCGCATTACTCTTTATCTCTCTTTATTTTGCATGTTTTGCTTTGTCATTTTTRGTGTATTACAATTTATTTTAAATGYACTTTTTGATCTTTTTTATTGATTTATCTAGCTTATAAACKTAATACTTTTCTTAACCCTTACTAAGTCTTTTTTGAATCACTAGTGCTAATTGCGCGCGCATGGTAATCTGGGTAACGCGTGCGTAAGATTCAATTGAAGTCTTTGTGACGTCACTGGCCATGTCATCTTTTATGTCAGAAACGTGAACAAAAAATGGCGGGACTTTTAAGGAATTTTGTCTCTCCAGATACCCTGGACGATTGGAAAGAGAGCATACGATCGTTTATATCCTGTTTGCAGGATCGTCGTTTGGGAATGGCGGGGATTGGATTTGGAACAGCAATGCTGATGTACACAACTCGCAAATCGATAACAAACCAACGTGAGATAACGGACAAAGAGGAAGCCTTGGCAAATTATCCTTCATTATGGAATCATTCAAACTTGATGGCTAAACATCTCACACCTGATCTTTATGCTAAGCTCCTTTGCTTCCAAACATCAAGTGGGTTTACACTAGACCAAGCGATTCAGCCAGGCATAGACAATCCGAGCCATCCACACATCTGCGTCTCAGGGATTATTGCTGGGGATGAAGAATCGTATCAAGTATTTGGAGAACTATTTGACCGCATTATCGAGGAGCGCCATAACGGTTACAAGAAAACCAGCATGCATGTGACAGATTTAAATCCAGCAAAACTTAAGCATGGAAAGTTTGACGAGAATTTTGTGCAATCTTGCCGAGTCAGAGCATCTAGATCACTGAAAGGATACAGGTTGCCACCGATGTGTAGCAGAAAAGAAAGACGCGCGATTGAAGCTTTTGTGAAAAGCGTTCTATCCAGCCTTAGCGGTATGTTGAACAATTTACAGTTGCGGTGTTTTGGTAAAAGTGAATTATATCCATGTTTTGTCGTCTTTTYATCAAAAGGYTATTTTTGCAGCAAACATAAGTAGCACTGATAAAGAAACGAAGGATAAGGGATTGAGCTTTCTTGCACACATATGTATACTCAGATTTTTGCAAGACTTAATAGCCTCACTTTGTACTTTAACCAAAATGATTCCGTTGCAGGAGATCTTGAGGGATGTTACTATTCGATATCAGCTTTAGCATCTGACGACTGCCACCATCTTGTTTTYGACCAATCACACTTGGATAAACCTACCAATCGATACTTCGTCAGCAGTGGGTTAGCTCGTGATTGGCCCGACGCCCGAGGYATTTGGCAATCGAAAGACAAAAACTTGATTGTTCGAGTTAACGAGGAAGATCATTTAAAGATTATCGCAACAGAGGCTGGTGGTGATATCGAGAAAGTATACGAGCGTTTCTACAAAGGGATCACAGAATTAGAGAGAAGAATTGAAGCATGTGGAGCAGTGTTCATGCGCAATAGCCACCTTGGAAATATCACAACGTGTCCAAGCAACCTTGGTACTTCGCTGAGAGCTAGTGTTCTGGTGAAGCTCCCTAATCTTGGAAAGGTAAGTAAATTACATACCTTCTTAGTAGGCCAGTGCAACAATTAAGCTACATTCATTCATTTCCTTATCGGCAATTACTAACGTGTCTGCCATTACATGATTATGTCTGAATCCATTCAATGCCCTTTAAAAGAGATGTCAGTCTTATTACTTAAAAAGGCAGGTCCTTGTATAACATATGTGATTTCAGTGAATGTCTGCTCCTTGTCTCTAACAACATACAATTAACTGAACTGCGGTCATCCACGCAACAACCCATTCCGAAAATTATCGTTTGATGTGATGTGAAACAGTATGGATTTTTCTGCAGGACACAAGGTTTGCTGCTATCTTGTGCGCATTGAGGTTGCAGAAACGCGGAACAGGTATGCCAGTACCTACATTATTGCATAGTATGCAATAAAATGTAACACAAATTCGTTATATATTGACTGTGATAYCTAATTGCGATTCAAGTTGCATGACAGATTTGAATTGAGCGACACTTAAGGATCATAGGACGTATATTTTTTATCATTATGCAGTTATRAAAAGTAAATAAAGTAACTTTAGGAAATCTATCACACCAAAGTGTTTACCATTATTCGTATACCGTACACTAAAAGCTACCTTTTTAAAGCATCTCGGAGGCACTAGCCACTTCTTTAAATYTATGAATACCTTCGCCATGTACGTGTATCAAAGGGAAGGTCATCTATGGTAAACTTGAGTCTTACGTCAACACTGATGCGTTTCAGTTTGCACCAATACAAAAACGTCAGAAAAATGTATCGGTGCAGACGATTCCTGAATGAATGAGGGAGCAGAATTGCAAAGTTTGACGTTATAAAAACACTTTTCGAAATCATGAAAGAAGTAATAGATCAAAAACGAGTGCGAGTGTTTCATCAGGGGATCCAAACACCGAGAAACAGATGAAAGCACGCGGCCGAAGGCCAAGTGCTTTTAGCGTTTCGAGATGTTTGGATTCCCCTGATGAAACACGAAGCACGAGTTTTTGATCTGATTTCTCAAACAAATTGATAATGAATGACTTCAGCTGGCAAATTCCTTAAAGACCGTAATTGGATTTATTCATCAGTCCTATTTTGGGTATGAATAGAATGAATTAAGTGGCATCATCAATCGCTATTATATATATAAACCCCAAAGGAGAGAGATTTGTAATAAATTTGTAGTAGTTCTTTTTATTCAGTTCAATTTCATAAGTTGAAATGGCGGAGGCAACCTCCGCGTGCAGCTTTCGAGATCCCACAACTCGAGAAGAAGATGCTGAGTTATTGTCAAAAGCTACGCCACAATCTACAATACAAAACGAAGTGGGCCGTGGAAATTTTCATGTCATGGCAAATGTGTAGACATTACGAAAAACCAAGTACAAACGTATGCAAGATAGTGTCAAACGTTCTCGGACATGTCGGATCGCAGCCTGTGGGTTCGACCATGACCATACCCACGAAAACGCATACTAAACGCATAAGAAACGCATATCATCCAATGCTCCAGTAAACCCAGTGATCAATTTGTCATAAATGTGTATTACAGAAAAAACCTCAATAAGAAATATGTATGTTCAAATATGAATGAAGTATTCATAGAATAAATATAAAGAATAAAAGATCAGTACAAAATATGCAAAATGTGTACACATCTCTATAAGAATGAAAAAAACTGACCATTAAATGTACCGTGGACAACTATAAAGTATAATCGCTTCTTTAGCAAATATAGATCTATCGATTTTCTACGTGTAATAACTTAACATAGCCACAAGGAGAAATATAAATAATACGTCAAACCCAATACTTTCAACAAAATCATAACTAGCTAAGTTGGTTACGCTCTGGACTCTCAACTCAAAGGTCACCGGTTCGAGCCACTCCAATGGTAAGACGTAGTTAATATAATATAGTAAAATAACATAACATAAAAATTGATTAGTTAAAATAAAGATTAGAGAAGTAAGAARAAGAGAAAAAACACCCCAAAAAGATAAGTGGTTAAAAGTAACGGAGAAGTTTTAAGAGCCTAGCAAATTTATGTTAATGAGTTCCAAACCCATGTGTCTGGATATCCAAACACATGGATTTGGATATCTAAACACACGGGTTTGGAACTAATTAGCATTCGATGTTGGATCATGGTATCCAAGGGTATGCACGTGACTCTAAAATAAACATCCGATTGGACTATGAAGTCATGAATTATTAATGAGTTTGAGAAATATCTGTTTCAGTACCAAATATAAGCGGTCTATAGTCATTTATAGCCGAGATGTGAGCAGTTTGCCAATCGGTGATCAGTGGCACTGTCCATTCTCCACAATGAGACTCGGCTTGCCACTTGTTTGCTTAATTAGACGTATATCGCAATTCGGGMATGAAGGAACTTCACTTAATTACAGCAGTGCATGTATTCCTTTTTAGATGGATTGGAAAAACCAATCGAAGACGACGTCTATGACATTTCAAACGCAGACAGACTTGGATATACTGAGGTACGTGTAGAAGCTCTATTCAGCAAATGATTGAATTTTCTTGCTTTTATTGAAAGTAAGTGAAAACGTTTGCTAACAAAAAACAGCTGTAAAAAGCATCACATAATAATTTAATGGATTCATAGTTTTAGTCGGACACATAGAGAAAATTTTGCTTGCAGTTTGGTTGAAATGACACTTAAATTCTGACATTGAATTAAAACTCCAATCATCTCAGTAAATCTGAAGTGTACACCTTCACGTACAAACGATTTGTGGTTAAAAGAGGGAAAGTCTTTTTTCCAGAGAGGGTTCGCCAATATGTTTAAMCATTTTTCATGTACGCGACATCCATATTTGTATTCAGGAATTTACGACCTTGTCACTTAATGAAAAATATGCAACTGTTAGAAATTTAAAAACTAATATTTCAATTCTTCACAAGGTTCAACTCGTSCAGAAACTCATCGATGGTGTTAATCTTCTTGTCAAAATGGAAAAAAGATTGGAGCGGGGACAATCACTGACAGACATTGCACCATTCCGACTATGATATAACAATTGATGGAAGATCACGTGACTATCACTATATATGAATGAAGACATGTTGTTAAATTTAAAACAGCTGAAGTAAAAATGTGCCTTCTCCGTTTGTACTTTGTGCTTTATGTTTCCGATGCTATATTCGTGTATTGTTTCTTAATTTTCTTGCTTTGGTCAAACGCCGAACTTATCACTTATTGAACTTAATATAGGSCATTTCGATATTCTGTTTGATGAACGACTACAAAAAGAATGAAGATGATGACCCCAACCAGGAAACTCTTCTTCATATCTTTTGTACGTGTTCCCCCCCGTGTACGTGTTCAAAAAACATTGTAGGTGTTTTTAAAACACAAGGTATCAGTTATAAATTAATACAATAGAACACTAACAGAACTGATCCACTTTTGATAAAGATTGTTCTTTTTTAAAAATCTTTGCTGATCAATTCCTCAATTTTGCATTTTGCACTTATACCTTAGGAGGCTCTCAAAGGTCATTTTAAAATTATCGTAAAGCTCAATCAGAAAATACAGGGGCTTTTGAGTATGTCTACTTAGTGGAGCCAGTCCCCACTCAAATTTCAAGTATGGGCAAACTGGATTATAGTTAGCAGCTATCAGGGAATTTTCGAGTGACTACACCTTGTAGGTCTTCTAGTAGAATGAGTTTTTTTATCATTTATTTGAGAAATTAAGGACATTTTAAGGTATAAATAAACTGAATTAAGAGCTAGGACTACTCAAATTGGTCGTCAGTCCCAATATTCTGTAGATGAAATGTCAGATGTAATCCTAATTTTCTGAAATTCTGTTAAAAAMGTTGTAACGAACATGAAGAATGCTCCTGACATCGACCACTCAGCAATATTACTAATCACGTGACAGATATAGCCAGGATCTTTGGGACTCCACATAAGCTTTGCTGTATGTGGAGTATTAGGTCTCTCGCGGTCCCATTCGTTGTGAGATTTATATTGAAAAGTAAAAAATACAATGAATGTGAATGTCATTATTGCAGATAGCATTGCTCTGCTATGGCATATTGCTGTACTGTTGATAACACCGTGATCTCGTAGTTTATATGACATCAATGTTTGTAGCCAGCAGTAAATCAGTGCACCGATGAATCCTATTAATGCTCCAACATCGTGGAATGACACAGTCTGAAATGGYAAATTAACCAAGGAAGGAGTTAGTAAGGTCGAGTATTTTATATTCTATGTCAGCGTAGACATTTCTCCATCCACACTTAGTAGAACGCTTAATTTTGAGAGTTTTTTTTTTTCCTCGACGGGAATGGTGGCAAAAAGGCGCCATTACAACACTTTAGGGTTATGAAAGGAAACAAGCTGAATCTTAGAGTTTYTTCTTTGAAACTTTGTTTCTTTTTGTCACACCTTGATAAATTTGASCGCCTCAGAGTAGGATAGGCTATTGCGGCGAATTGAAATGAAAGCTTTTCAAGGCAATTGTGGGTTGTATAGGATCAAAAACCCCATTCAGAGTATATGTTATATATGTTAATGATAACGATCAATTAAAACCTTAGCAGACGGTTCAGGGGAGATTCCACAAAGGAGTCACGGCAAAATGGAATGGCTAAACGACCCAAAAAAAATTTCAAATTCATAGAAAAAAAATTTCTTTGATGTGAATGCTGCTTTATTTATTTTTCATGAGCCCCAATCAGATTTATTCCTTATTTTTTTAATTGTATCATTATTCCTATCTCAATATGGGGATGCCTAGCTACCCGCACCCTAATAATCATGCCCCCTAGTCAAAATRCAGCTTACCTTTTGAACTTCAAAGTTAGCCACAAACGTCATTGCAATTCCAGACAGTATTCCAATTCCAAATGTAAATTTATTGAGTTTGTCCAGTCTGTAATGTTCTTCAGGACATTGGAAAGCTACCAGTTGATATTGCATGTATCGCACATAGGTATTGGTAATAAATAAAAATGCTGCTAGATTGTTTAATTCCCTAAAAATGTACTTCTCAGGAGATAAWACTCCAGTGTCGCTAATCGCTGGGAAGAATGGATAGATGTGTCCGTAAATAAGCGCAGTAGTGTATGAACATGTTATGCTTCCTATGGTTAAAACTACAAAGAATATACACAACCAACCAAGACCAAAGTCTGGTAAGCCCATTCCCTTGTTATCTTGCAAGACTAAAGACGAATTCCGTCACACAGATGATCCAAGTCACTCTCCTTTTCTTCTCTGAAAAAAAAAAAAATTATAGAAAGATATACAACTATTTCAATACACGTTATCGGGGAGAACGGTGAATGGCGATTGTCGAAGGGAGGTTGAACGGTAGAAAGGGACTATGGTTACACTGTTGCCGGGGCGGATCCAGAGGAGGTGCTTTGGGTGCGGACTTTGGGTTTGGACAACGTAATTTTTTTACGTTTTTTTAAAAATCTGCTGTTTATACTCCTGTTGTAATTTTATGGAGAAATCGAGTAGCATACACAACATGTGTCTGGCACTATGTTACTTAACAATCTATTTGAGTAGTGTAGTCAAAAAAGATACGTTGCAATAAAAGTCAATTTGATTCCGGTCGTGTTGTGCATAGTTTTCTTGCTCTAGACAATACGCAATGTTCTAGTTTTTAGCTATATATATTACTGGCAAAAGAACCCTACCCCCCCTTATAAAATGCTGAATCCACCCCTGCTGTTTTGACAAACAAAATTTTCCTTATTAGATTAAACTTTCATTTCTCAACAATTAGCACAGCACATGCTACTTTTGGTCGTGCAATCTTCGTTCGACAATTTACACTCGCCATTTATCCGACAACCTTTTTTGAAATAGGTATATTTGAAAACTGTTGAGTTACTATTGTACTGTGGAACTCAATTAAAGAGCGAAGACTGGACACTAAAGGAAGAATTCGCGCTCAGTTTTTACCGTATTTTAGGTTCCATGCTACCACTGTACACCGACGCCATTTTCTAGAGCAAAGCATAGTGTGAGACTGTAATTGTCGCATTTTACAGTATGAAAACACAGGAGAGGGTTATTTCTAAAGGGTGAGGGAAAAGTATACAAATCATGCTTTGTTTTCAAAATGGCGTCACTGCACATTGCATGATGAATCAACTCTTTACATCGCACTAAATTTGTCAGTAACATGAAACAAACGGCATGCCATCGATCAGTAAAAATAGCCTATAATAATGAAATTAGCTAAACAGAAATATTTTTTTCGCAGACGTTCATTGCAGATTCATTAGAGTTTTGGCTGCAGCCGATAAATTTCGACATGTTCGAATACATTGTTCATTTATTGTACTTTTAATTTGATTTAATCTAAATAATTTGATCCTCTTGATTCCTATTTGGATAAATTCTATAATATAAAAATTCAATAAAATAACTAGATATCTGATGTACTGACGTCCAGTGATCCGCACGTGTGAAATTGTTAAACATGGTACTTTTGGACACTGATTTCTTAAAAATGTTATTTTCGGCTTGGACTATGCATGAGAACTGAGAACAATGCATAAACGTTTGGAAGTACAAATTTTATGTGTACAATTGATAAAATAACGATGAGGAAGATAAAGTTCGTATTTCTGCGGTCGCGTCCATGTGACTCCTCCACAAAACTAATATCTGTTTCATGAATGGTCACTTATTGGATGAAATCTTCCATATATACACTCGTCACAGTCGGCTAGTCAGTATAGCGACTGATTCATTATCATCGGAATTTTTTAAAGATATCACAACGGTTGTAGTCGCCAATTAGGACTGTATTTTTAGTCGAAGTCAAATCCATATGTTATTCACTGAGACGGTTTGATTTTCTTACTCAATAAATCCGATAGTAAAGTTGTCAGAATCGTTCCAACAATACTAGATAAGACATTTTTCTTCTGCTTTTGTCAATTTCCACAATAGCAATAGATACTTACGATTACAAAATCTTGTCATTTAATTATTATGTTACATTAAGCGAGATAGAGAAAACACATCAAGTCACAGAGCGAATTGTTGATCCAAAATCAACAATCAATTATTYTAATCATTTTGAAAAGATCAAATCAGTGTTAGCTAATGTTAGCTACAATACTTACCGTTGGTCAAACGATGCTATAACCACTGCTGACAGTAAAATCAATTCATGGCAAGCAAATAAGATCAAATAAACAATTTTTTATTTGTAAACGATAATCATTAACGGGATATTGGATTTGTTTAGGTTCTGGACGGGTACCGGTCAACCTACTTCTGTTATTCGAATCAACTAAGGATGAAACTAAATATTTAGCAAGTGAAATTTGTAATTTCCTTTCTCTTAAAGATTTGGGTTCTAAGTTATTCTCAATAAGTTGGCATTAAAATTCTCCGTAACTTTGTTTTCACAATTTAAAATAATGATTGTTAAATGTCAAAATATTTTTAATATCCGGTTCTTGTGCAAACTCCTTATTTTTGCACTCGATCTGTCAATAAATAATATGGTTTGCGCTTTTTAAACAAAATGGACTCAAAACTGAAATATTGTTGGAAATCTATTGTTTTACACATTTCAATAGGATCCATTTTTAGGAGCGCTCTGATTGGCTTTGCGGAACAGCGTTGAAAGACATATGCCGACCAATATGGCCGCCATAAGATTATATCACTCTTTCATCAGGAGAAACCACCAAAAGTTCATGTATTTGCGACGTTTTGACATCCAATTATTGCGGAGATAATTTTAAAACTTTTTATACGTATTTTTTAATTTCCTTAAGAGCTTCGTTTTTTTGGAGGGGTTTTCGCACATTTTTGTAACTGCTCACAAATTTGACGTTTAATYGCAAACATTGCACGTAATGTTGAAATTGATATTAAAGTGGTRCCGTGAAGACATGGAAAACAAAACAAGAACCAAATAACAACAGAATGATTTTAGTCTTAAATCTTACTGATCCCGAAAGGAAGACAAAAAAAAACAGTTKAAGTAYAGTCGTACACACTTTTAATTGAGTCGATTTCGTATATGGACTGCCTATAAAGAACGCACGGAATCGAACGCGGAATCACGGCACGGTCACGGCACAAAATAGACACTGCATGAACATCTACTGTAGTAATATGTATGCTAATGCAATACCATGAAATTGCTCTTTTTCYTAGTTTTCTCGTTTCATGATTTTTTTAATAATTTCAATTGGGCATAAAGAACAAATAGCAGAAAGTGTCTTCACGCTACCACGTCTGAATTTAGGCAGCTGAAGCTGTGTGCTACGCCTGCATTTGTCTTGGAGACCTCTGAAAACGTAGTCAGTCAACAAAGACTGTAAAAACATTAGCTCAGATACAGGTGAAACATCATAACTGTGCCAACATACACGGGACAACATATTCTGAACGATACCATCATTCAGAAATGATGCAAAAAAATACTTTTATGTATATATATCACTGAAAAGTTTAAAACATAAYTACTGGAGGGAATGAAGAAAACCTGTGAAATACTGAGATTTAATAAATTGCACTAATGCACCTAGGTATAATGCATCCGCATTGCATTGTTTTCTTTTGTGTCTATTTGACTATCACACTTTAATAAGTTTTGTTTCACGGGTTTAATGACCTCACTCTAGTAAGAGTTCTCCTGATGATCAGCCTGATTGAGTACTAGTTACTAAATAGTGCAAAATAGAGCAAGTTGAACAAACTGAATTGGCGTAGGTTAATACAAAATATTCTGTCACTGATGCTTATGCTTTTTAGTACTCTATTTTCTAAACATGAGTTCATCAACTCCGTGAAACAAATAAAATTTGACCAAGTGACAGTCAAATAGACACAGAAGAAAGCAATGCAAGCAGAGCGTACTAAGTTGTTCAATTATAATAGTTCATGTATTATCTATTTCACAGGCTTTTTTGACTTGACCCCAGTCAAAATCTATAGGATATAGWAGAGTAAAATCGAAACCAAATATTACTTATTAGCCCAAATATAGTATAGATTAGGAAATGGAAAAGAAAGGAATTCCYAGTAGTATGATTCGGCACTTTATTACTAGTTTTCATGGTTCTAGTTTGTTTTCTATATACAGCTACTTCAAAAACGGTTAACKGAGAGGACTSGGAATACACACGACCGAAAGTTACTGTGGGTTTTAATTTGTGATGAATGATAYTTGCCCATCTACTTAAGAAATGGCTGTCACGACACGTACAGTCTCGAGTCAGAAATACCCACAGTACTTTTCGGTCGTATATTGGATAGTCTCTCCAACAACCTTATTTGAAAAAAGCTTTGTACAGCAAATATCATGARTAAGATAGAATAATATAGCTAAAAGCAAAACTTCACCTGAATGGCACTGTCTGGTCGAGCAAACAGGATGCTAGCTATAGACAGGTTTGGTATATCAGTTGACCAGCTGTACAGAGTCTCTGTTCCAGGTATTGTATATATATAAACCTGGAACATATCATATTACCCATAGTAGAACAGCACGAGTATTCTAAAACATGAAACTCCTTGCCATTTTGGTGATTTGCACAGTGTGCGCTCTTGGCTTTGCTGAAGACGACGAAGAAACTTATGCTTTGGTAAAATAGTTCAAACAATCAGTTTTATCTWTCTTTTCCCTATATTCTTTTTATCTTGCTTGTTTTTTCTTTCCTGCTGTATTTGTTGTGCGTTTACATTTTTTAAACGTTTACATTTTTTAAACAGTGTCTCGATTTTTTTCTTGTTTTTCGGTCGTCCCCTCTTTTCAAATTTAGTTTCGTCGCTTACCGCCTCRCCGAGTTTCAATTCGTCTGCTTCTTAATAGTTAATAGTTTTTCTGCTACTCTTCTGTAGTTATTCTTGGACAAATTATCGAAGTATATCAAGGGGATATTTTATAATCCTGTGAAAAGGCCGCCTTTTTATTCTTGATACATTAAATAATCCAACAATGTTTCTTTTCACCAGAAATACCTGAACCAGTATCACTATCTTGCGCAAACTCGCTCCGGAAACCATGACGTCAGTACTGCTATCAGAAACTTTCAGAGATTTGCTGGTCTTGAGGTAACTGGACAAATTGACGCTCCAACCATTGCTCAGATGAAAAAGCCTCGCTGTGGTATGCCAGATATGGATGATGGTGAGATTGTTTGACATTTTGTTTAGGCCTCTAACAAGGTATCAATTAATTTATTTTCCTCGCCTTGCTAACGCCCGCTTACACTTTTGATGATCAGTCATAGACTAAACCATATCATCTCCTTTTGCCTATTTAGGTTCAAAAAGTACTTAGGAAATGTAGA